TTTCCATATGTGTGAGTTATGGTTTACTTCTACTTATGCACGAGTTACATCTTTTTATGCGTGAGTTACATCTAATTATGCGTGAGTTACATCTACTTATTTGTTATTTTTTACTTATCTTCATCTTCAACTAATTAGATTACAACTGAATTAACTTCTTTCTTTACCAATTAATTACAAAATTTTATTAACCCACATAAAATAAGTATATTGTATTTCATAATCATACACTATTTTTTTTCAATTTTTATTCATCTTAAATTACTACCGAATTTATTTTTTCTGTATTGTTTTTACATTTATACACTTTTTTTTTTAAATATTTTTCATACTCATACACTTTTTTCTATAAAAATTTCGTATCTCTTTTATATGTTTTAGTGTTTTGAAGACATTAAGTTTGTTTATTTCAATTTAAATTTGATAAAGTATTATATTTCATTTTTCATATGTGTGAGTTATGTTTATAGACATTTTATGGAGTTACATTTGATAGTATATGGAGTTGTATCTTTTTATGCGCGAGTGACATTTTCTTGTGTGTGAGTGAGTTATGTCTTTCTATGCGCCAGTTACATTTGGGTTTGTCTCAACGCTTATATTTTGCATACATCTAAGTTAGATTTTCCATCAATGCGAGTTACATTTTCCATAACAGGAATAACATCACAACATAAAGCCCTACTATTGAAACATAAGAACCGTCGTTTTGCCAAAAAAAGGCAAAAAATGACTTCTTATAAAACATTTTAATGGCCTTAATATTAAAAAAACACTACTCCCTCCGTCCCCTTTTAAATGTCCCATTTTACCATATTGGGATGTCCCTATTTAATTGTCCCATACCTTATTTGGTAAAGTTTGTGTGGCTCAAAATCATTCTTACTTTATTCTTACTTTATTCTTACTTTATCTATTAATATCAACCACACAAACCTACTTTTCTTAAAACTCGTGCCACCCTCTTACGGGACATTTAAAAGGGGACGGAGGGAGTATTTAAGAAAGTAGTAATTGGGCACTCGGTTGATGTCAAATATGAAAAACTACCCAATTTTTGTTTTATTTGTGGAATATTATTGGACATTCTGATAAATTTTGTCCTTTAACATATGAGGACAATCTGGTATTGGAAAAATCTTTTGTTGTTAGCCTGAGAGCAGGTAGTGAGGTGAAGACTAGTCCTATAGGAGGAAACAAGTGGTTGTTGAAGGGATCCCCCAATGCAGCTTGGAGTCGCTCACTTCTGGAGAATTACAAGACGGGAGGCGGATCATGAGAGCATGGCGGGAAGGAGTCTACGACCGGCACGAGAGATTGTACGACTAAGGATGGGGACTTGGGAAGTACTGAGAAATTTTCAGGAGAACAAAAGACAAGAAGAATCTGGGAAACACAGGACCAGGAGGGGCCAAGCAGGGAAAATATGGTTGTTGACAAGCCAAAAAACGAGGAGGAGGCGGGCTCAGATATTTAAGCCCGCCGAAGGAACAGTCGCAAGAAGCAGGTTCGGGATGGTGTTTGGTTTTATTTCCCTGGAAGACGAAGCAGAGTTTTTAGTTTTTCGTTTTGTTTATTTTCTTTGGTGTTGGGTACTTTGTTTTTTATCAGCTTGTTATTTTTTTGCATTGCAAGACTATGAGCTTGGATTTGGGTGACAGGAGGTCTGCGTTAACCTTCTTTGGCTCAGTTGCGCCCATTAATGGATCATCAAGTTATATTGTTTCTTTTGAGGTGATTAACCCTGAGTCTGGTTCGAGGGTCGGCAGTTGTCAGGGGTCTTTTTGTCTTTTTAGCCCAAAGCCCTTATCTGCATGGTGTGATATAAATTTAAGCCACCTTCCATAAAAAAAGTAAACCCCTACTATTGAAACAAACAAAAAATCACTTTTTGAAAAAAAAAACAAAATGAACTTTTTGGCTAAAAAATTGATTATTTTGGCAAATAAAAAAAATTAGTGTCCTTATTATTAAAAAACAAAACATATTCACTATTTATGTAAAGTAATTGATCAATTAGACTCCTTGTTTTCATTGAAATAAATATTTTATTTCTTATAATCCGTATTAGACAAGTTACATTTGAACTTGCCTGTAGTTACATTGCTTATCAGCGCGAGTGACATTTATTTACATCGAGTTACATCATTCTGCTACTGCGACAATGAAAAAAACAAAAAAGAAGTTATTGTTCACGCGTGAACAGTTACACACATTTTTGCCCGTGGGAGCATCATGCTCACCGTGGATTGCTCTCACGGTATAACAGCTGTCTATCAGGCAACACACTAGTCAGCTGAAATCTAACACTTAATTTCGACATTTGAATTACCCAACTGACCCATGTCTTAAAATATTAAAATTATTTAATAGAGAAAACTATCAAATAAGCTCTCGTACTATACTCAAAAAGTCAATTAGACCCTCGTACTTTATAACACTCAATTGAACCCTCGTACTCTCAAAAACCACTCAATTGAGCTATTTAGCAGGTCAGTTACAAATTATACCGTGGGATCGGTGCACCTTTTCAAGGTGTACCGATCCCAAAACGGCATCATTTTGTTAAAAATTCAAAACCTCCTCCGACCTCTCCGTAATTGCGCATCTATGGAGTGCACTCCCGTTGTCGGCGAGTCGCAGAATCTCAATCCGCCGAGTTCCACTACTATGTCGTCGCCACGTCACCGGAAATCAACACCGTCGAAGATCACTCCTCGAACTCCTACGCCACCGCCCAACCCCAGCATACCTAAACGAAGAAGAAGAGATGAGAGAAGAGGAAAGAAGAAGAGAAAGCTGCTGCCAAGTTCCGTTTTCGTCCGCTCATCACCAGCGCGCCTCGATTCCGAGAAGAAAGAGCCGCTGCGTGAAGAAGATGAAGACCCTGGCCATCCCCGGTTATCAGCTGCTGCGTTTACATCTCCCCTAAAGCCCATTTACATTTAAACATGATAAAGTCACATTTTGTAATACACGATTTACATTTCAATTTTTCTCAATAAGTTACATCTTGATTTACATTTGAGATACTGCGAGTTACACCACAAAACAATGCGAGTTACACAACAAAATAAACCTCTATTATTCAATCAAAATGATTTTCTTATTAAAAATTATTTTTAATGGACCTAATATTAAAAACAAAACGTATGCACTACTTATGTAAAATAATTGGACAAGTAGACTCCTTTTTTTCATTAAACATGAGTTACATTATTTCAGGGCACAAGTTACATTTGTTGTTAACTGAAGTTACATTTGTAGCAAGACGAGTTACATCTAATTATGCACAAGTTACATAGTTCATGCTGTTGGGACGAAAATAAATAAAAAAAGTTGTTGTACAAGCGTGTACTGTTCATGTGTTTTTTTAAATGTGCAAAACTACGTCGTTTTGGGAGTGGAGCACGGTTCTCACCATGAGATGATACCACGGTATATGAACTGGCGGTTCCCAAGTCACCTGCGTGTGTGGTAGCCTTGGTGGAAGCTCACATGGCAAGTTTTTCCTCTCTCCCTTTTCTATTTGTTTTTCTTTGAGTGATTTACCTAAATAAGACTAAAACTTGTCTAAAATGCAAAAGTAGGACCATTAGTTTTCCGTTTAATTCGATACGACTAAAAATAGAATGGAATCGCAAAATTGCCCCTGATTTACGCGTTGCCTCACTTTCTTCCCACCAGCGATTAATTTGTGCGACGATGATGGGTGCGAAGAATGTAGCCGACGATAATAGCTCTGCTGCTACATGCCCAGGTAAGCTCCTTCTCCTGCATCTCATGTGTTTTCTTCTTCCATGTTTTTTTTTTTGTTTTTCTTCTTTCTTTGGATGTCTAAATTATTTCTTTTGGATGTCATCATAGTTGTTTTATTTAAACACTAATTTCAAAGTAATGTTACTGTTATGTCATCACAATCATCAAGATGACAGATTTATTTTACATCTTTATTAAACATATGAAGCAAAAACTTGACATTTTCAGAGTAATAATGACATTCTCGTGATAAACATGACAGTTTTTATAAAGTAAAAGGAGAGACTGCCATGTTTATACATTTGTAAATGTCATCTTCATGACAGTTTTACTTTACATCTTTATTGAACATTTGAAGCAAAACTTGACATTTTCAGAGTAATAATGACATTCCTTTGATAAACATGACATTTTTTATAAAGTAAAAGAATGAGAGACTGTTATGTTTATACATTTGTAAATGTCATCTTCATGACAGTCTTTCTTTACAACTTTACTGAACATTTGAAGCAAAACTTGTCATTTTCAGAGTAATAATGACATTCCTTTGATAAACATGACATTTTTTATAAAGTAAAAGAATGAGAGACTATTATGTTTATACATTTGTAAATGTCATCTTCATGACAGTCTTTCTTTACAACTTTACTGAACATTTGAAGCAAAACTTGTCATTTTCAGAGTAATAATGACATTCTCGTGATAAACATGACAAATGTTTTATACATTTGTAAATGTCATCTTCATGAAGAAGAAGAAGAAGAGGAACACGAAGAAAAAGAAGAAGAAGAGAAGTAGCAAGAAGAAGAAGAAGAGAAGTAGAAGGAAAAGTCTGAAATTGAAGTTGACGTCACCATCATTTTAATTTGGAAGATAAAATCTTCTAAACGGAAGAGGGAAGATCGGGTGATGCAGTGGTGTTTCAAATTCAATCGGAAATGGGAGAGGAGATAGATCGGTGAAATTTCCGATAAAGAAATCTGAGGTGGAGGTACAGAGAGATTAGAAGACGAGCGGCAAAAGTAATTGGGGATTTTGAACATCCCTGGAGAAGAAACGTACAAGGCGGCGATGCGGACCTGCTCAATGTTGAAGGCGGCAATGAGGAATAAGAGAAGGATTGAGCGACAGAGGAAAAGAGGGACTTTTTGGACATTAAAGAAACCGTAAAAAGTCCCATTTTGGCTTTTTATCTATCTTTTAGTCTTATTTAGGACAATTTTTTCTTTTTCTTTTCCTGTGTGGCAGCCTAGTAGCCTTGATCACGTTCACTTCATCGTCGGCAAAGAATGGGTCCATCTTCCCCATGTTTGTTCATGTTCCATATTTCCATTCAACTTGGGGACATCGCAGAGCTGGGAAGCGTATCTTCTGGCAGCCGTTCAACCATTTTGGCACCAAGCCAACCAGCACTAGCGCGGCGGGAGTCTTTGGAAAGGAGGCCTAATGGTGAATTTCGTAAGCCTCAATCCGCCAAAGAAGAAGAGTCTTGCTGTCGGCGGAGGAAGGACGTCGGCGATAGGCTAGTTGAGTGTAAACAACGGTGGAGGAAGGTGGCGATGCACTCAAGCTCCAGCGATGGCGGATGTTGTCCCCCGATAATGGTGGCCGGAGTCCCCGGCGCTGGGGGCTGTTGTCCCCGACAATGGCTGTCGGAGTTCCAGGCGCTGGCGGCCGCAGTACCCGGCGTTGGCGTTGCAGTCCCCTGCGATGGTGGCAACTCCCGGATGGTGGACGGGATCTACGCATCTGGAACCAGCTTTTGTGAAGCCGAAGAAGAGAAAAACAAAGAAAGGGAAAAGAAAAAATGGAAAATGGAAAAGGAAAAAATGCCACATGGGTAGACGACCGGGAAACCGGGAAGTTACCTCCTAAATAGTTTAATTGAGCATTTCTTCGCACTAGAAGGGTTCAATCGGGTGTTTATAAACTACGATGGTCTAATTGACTTTTTTAGTATAGTACAAGAACTTATGTGATAGTTCTCTCTATTTTATATCATACAAAATGTTTATCATAAATTTAATTGTATCGTAAATGAATATCATACCCTAAATAATTGAATTTATATATTTATATACTTACATATTTTTCATTAACTTCATGTGTTCTCCATTCACCATCACGAGTCATGGGATAATCTTTTCAATTTTCGATAGCTGAGGATGGTTCACGAGTTAATGGATTGTCCTATACATTATTGATGGAGTAATGGGACTAGGCCCAGAGCCTAATCAGCCCAGGTCCCGAACATGGATCCGTGTATCCAAGTCCACAACCTGAAGCCTGTCTGCCAGCCCAGCGGGGAGCCTGTCAGTCCGGCCGACCTCCCAGCATGGAAGAGTGACGGTCAACCAATTAATGCGCTATTAATTATGTATTTAATTTCGTATTAATGTTGTATTTAATTAATCATTATTATCAGTTGCGGTTACGATTTGTATACGCCTATAAAAGGCACCTTGTAATTCATATTAGGGAGCGAATTCTATATGCTATTTATGGCTACCAAATTCTCTTTGCGACTTTCCTTATTGTATACGCTTATAAATTCCTGCTTGAGTGTCGTACGTAGCTTTCCTAAAAGTCTACGAGCATCCTATTTTGGACTAACATTGGTGCTTTCATTGAGAGCTTGATCAATAATCAAGTTAGATCCTCCCAGAAAATACAGAAATTCATCACAAACACAAAAGAAAGACATCGAAACAGTTCGGGAAATCACAATTTCGAAATTTCGGACCTGGATTGCAAAAAAAAAGAGGAAAAATTTATGGAATTTTCAAGATCTACGCCGGAGATGCCGTTGCTGGCCACCGCCGAGCAGTGTGCTACAGTAGAAATATTTCACTGGGCTCACCTACCCGCTCCCGGATCTCGCCGCCGCGGAGTTGCCGCCAGGCGCCGTGATATGAAGCTCGTCGCCACTGGCCTGGAAGGTTCAGATCTGAAACTTTAACTGAACCTGCACTGTCGTCGTCCTGGCCGCCGCCAAGCAAAGAAGCGCCTACCGCTGCCCCAGATCTCACCAAGCCAGCGACGTCCTCCTAAGCCAGCATGAGGGTCATCTTCGCTCCGCAGCTCCCAGGCCGGCATCTCCACTGCGTGTAAGTTGGACTCCACCAGGTCAGCACCATCATTTTCAGGAGGGGGCGTCACTTCCAGGTCAGAAATATGGAGTTTTCTTGCAGGTAGGAAAAGTCTGGCACCCTTGCAGGCCGGCGAATCCAGACCGGGGGTTCGCCATGAGGTCGGCGGCTGAATCCCCGGATCCAGTGGTGTAGCTTGGCGACAAAACTCTTGGGCCGGTGATGTAAATTTGATGGTGCTTCGGGCGACGTGAGTCCTCCAGGTCGCACTAACGGCCGCCCTCCGATGGCAGACGACCCATCCGATGGAAGTGGCGGCAGCCGACTTCGTTTCCTACTGCGACGACAGCTGTTCTCCGTCTCTGTGATGGCCAAAGGACCTCCGCTCCAGACCTCTCTTGCCACTTCTCCCTGATCCTCAGCTTCCTCCGTTCTTCACCAATGTACCAGGGTGGGGTTCTAATCCGCTAGCCGCCAGTCTCCGTTAGGGGGGGAAATCCGGCCTCAGCTCCGGGTCACTCCAGCCCACAGCGACGGTACCAAGCCGCGACTCCGGTTCGGGACCCATGGTGCTCCTCCCCTGGGTCAAAATGGTGGCGTTGCATTCCCTTTGAACGAGGACATATACGCAACTCGTGAGCTCCAGAAATTAGATCTGAAACCGTCTGCTCACAGAGGATAAGGCCACTGAAAGTGACAACCAGCTAAATTCTTTGCCTCTTTGGAACTAGGTCAATTTTGTTGACCAACTCTGGGGCTTAGAGCTCAAAGCTTCCTTCCAAGCACAACCTGACCGAGCATAATCAGCCGAAGAAGCTAAGTGCTCATTTTTCATTTTTATTATTATTATTATAAAAGATGTTACAAAAAAATCATAAATTGAAACATTTGAAAAGATATTTTAAGTGGTGTAATTGCTTGAACTATTGTTGAGCGTGTGTAATTTTAACATTGAAAAATGGACTTATGAAATCCGATCACTCACGTACACCGGACGAGCACACACACTCGCGCCACCGGGTCATGTCATATGGGTGTAGCGATTAATAAGCTCCAATATAAATGTTAATACCTCACACTCTTGACTTCTTACAGGTTCTTGCGTGCTCTTACCTCTTTCTAGTGCATCACACTCCGACCTCGGGGGTTGAGTCACCCGTTCAAAAGTCTTTACTTGCGGGTTCGAACTACTAACCTCGGGCGGCGAGTTAAACTCTTGTTAGGGGTCTAGATCCACGCTTTTCAGAGCAATTTTGTCACTTAATTGGCATTCACATTTCTCGAAAAGGTTGATATACTTTAGTTCTTTGGGGTTGGATAATCCGTTCGAGTGAGGAGTCCGCCTCACTTACTCGCGGATTCAATCTTTCTTTCGGAGACTGGGTTGAGGCCTAACTTGGGAACTTGATGTCACTCTTTTCAAGTAGTGAGTCCGATTCACTTACATACTGAGCCGTGGTTCAACACCAGTCCAGATGCTCTATTCTACACTAGTTTCTTTTATGTGTAGGTATAACTGAATGAAGTGGGGGACTGAGGGTCTTACCGTCTTCAAGGAAGAAAATGACGAACCTGACGAGTCTGAGCCCATGAGAAGAACAGTTCTAGCCATCCTATTCGCATATGGCGATCATTAACATAAAGGCTAAGGATCTCACCTTTTGCTTCATCTTGGGGGCGTCAGATGTACTCTTTTTCCCTTCATTAAGATTTTTTCCCATTGGGTTTTTTCCTAATGAAGGTTTTTAACGAGGCATCTCCCCAACATGGACAAGGGCGGGGATCTTCTAGTCTCGAAGAAGAGCAACTGACTTTGACTACTCCCTCTTAGCCGAGTCTACGACTCGACTAAGGGAGTGGGGGACTCGTGATGGAGTAATGGGACTAGGCCCAGAGTCTAATCAGTCTAAACCCCGAACTTTGACCCGTGTATCCAAGTCCACAACCTGGAGCCTGTCTGCCACCCCAGCAGGGAGCCTGCCAGTCCGGCCGACCTCCCAGCATGGAAGAGTAACGGTCAAGCAATTAATGCGCTATTAATTATGTATTTAATTCCGTATTAATGTTATATTTAATTAGTCATTATTATCAGTTGCGGTTACGATTTGTATACGCCTATAAAAGGTGCCTTGTAATTCATATTAGGGAGCGAATTCCATATGCTATTTCTGGCTACCAAATTCCCTTTGCGACTTTCCTTATTCATATTACTTTCTTGATTCCTGCTTGAGTGTCGTACGTAGCTTTCCTAAAAGTCTACGAGCGTCCTATTTTGGACCAACAATTATACATGACAACAATGATTAATTATAGAATAGTAAAAAAGAAACATCAGTAAGTTTAACCCAAAATATTAAGTTTTGACAAGGTCAAAACTTGCAACTCCTGCACTAAAACGTATTTCTAAATATCAAAGCAGTTTACAACCCTTCATCAATCAAAGTTACTTACACAATATACATATAAAACACTACATCATGATATAATCTCACTGCAATGATTCAATGGAATTGGCATCCTAAGAAAACTATCATCTTGTAATTACATGAAGCTTATAGTCTTAATTAAATATAAACTTAGCATATTCGGCACATAAATAATCAGCGCAAAAGTAAATTCAAGAGTATGATGTCAAAACTTACTTTTTCGTGGAGATATTGTGCATATGATTTTCTTCCATGCCCGCTCTTGTCATCACAAGCTTCCCTATTGTTTGAGTTTTTCCCTGAGATATCCAATTTACACATGCATTAAACTCAATTAACTTTTATTTGAACATAAACATTAGAGAAAATAATAGTAAGCCTTAAACTTTGTAGAACTAAGTCTCTCACAACACCGTCGACATTGTTCATAAGTCTGAAGATTTGTAGGCTTCAATGCTTGTACACCCTTGTTGTTTTTGAAATAATCAGACAAATCACTTTTCCAGTTATTATAGCACTCTAGAGCGTCTCGGTTGAGCACTTCATCAAAGATATCATCATTTTGATTCTCAAACTAATCCTTCAATATATGAAACATTTAGCTTATGTTAAAAGGTAATTATTTTTATAAGAAAATTAGATAAGTCTTAAAGCTCTTACCAGCATCCGTTGTCGGATCATAGACTTTTGATAGGTCGGAACATCATCCCACCTATCGGAGAATGGCTCACAACAATCTCGAGTGTTTATCCCTCTCGCACTTGCTTAACCACCAAGAAGATTTAGCTCCACCTGCCTTTCATGTTTGCCTTTTCGTATCAAACTCAATCTTGACCGTACCATCTTTAGCTACAACATTTATGATATTATTTTCTTTAGCTATTCCTCTTTTCTTCCTTTTTTTCCTTCCAAGTGCTAGTAGCTGGACAATATCAAACAATATTTATATTAGTACATATATCATGCTTTATTTATATTGTTCAAAAAAGAGTAATCATAATTATATTACATCATACTTGAGAAAAGAGTTATCCTCATAATTCAAATATGTAATACCCGACTCACATGAAGAAGGTAATCTACGAGGATCTCGTGGAGGCTGTGCTCCTCCAATTGAACCTGCACATGTAGCTATAGATACTGCCATCATATTTCATCACCACCAAAACAAAGAGCATGGTCTTCATCCTCTTCATTGTAGTCATAAAAAGTTTCATCTTCTTCATCGCTAATGAAATCATCTTGAACAAACTTAGTTAGAACTCTCACATCGATGGACACAAAGTCTGGTGGTACGCTTGATTCATTCCATAACATATAATCTATGTTTGGTATTTCAGCATGCAAACGGATCCCTGAAGATTCTACATCTTGGACAATACACATATCATCTTCTTCATTTGGCGGAAGGTCCCATGTGTTCCTATGCCAAAAATGCGTCATAACTTTCCAATGTGGACCATTAAAAATGTCATCCACGTAAAAACACTTGCTCTCTTTGGGAAGCAAGAATAAAAGGTTCATTTTCATACTAGAC